ATCAATGCCACGTAGAATTAAGGCAGTTCTGAAGGCGAAAGGGGGTCAAACACCGTATTAGTATGGTGTTCCTAATAATCCTTTAGGTGAGTGTAGGTGCCAAAGACATTTTGAGCTCAGGGTGCTGCAAGTCAGAGAGACCAGTGGGGGGTGGTGTGTGGTTCAGTGGTCTATGTCTTTGTGCCTGTGATCAAAATATCACTGGTTTAAGTTCCATCCTTGTCAGAACAGTCACATGTCCATGGGCCCTTGAGCAAGGCCCTTAACCCCCAGCTCTGGAGGTGCTGCATGTTAGCTGACCCCGCATTGTCACCCCCACGCTATGGAGAGCATGGTGTGGTAGGTGAAGAGAAGCATTCCAATGTATCTGTACTTGTGCAAATGGCAAATAAAGCATTTTTTTTTAGATTTTACTGAAATTCTTTTGTGTGTTGCAGTTGATATGAAGTATGTGTTTAATGCTGGCATCCTGTTTGGGCTTCCTTCTCTGGGATAGACTCTAGGATCTCTCATCACCCTAGTACTGGACGAACAGCTGGAAGATGGAGAGTATCTGCTTTTTTTTTTTAACCATGACTCACTGCTGCTGATGTCTCATGTCATTAAGGGAGTATTTAGCCCAACTATCAAACAAATGGAATTACCATTTGTAACTCTACACATATACACACTTGAGGGTATTCCTGATTTTTTTTTAAAGGGTACAATGACTTGCTTTTCTCTCTGGACCCAAACCATCATCCAAACTAATGGTGCCAATTAGCACGAACAACCAGAACCCATTTTATTTATTTGCTACAAACAGCAGTGATGGGAGGAATGAGGCTTTGAAAGCCATAAAGGGTGGGATTACTGTGTACTGTCCGCTACTGAATTGTGCAACAGGAGGTGAGTCAATTTTTGGTGGCCCCAGCATAATCCCACACACTGAGCTTTCTGATACCTCATTCCTCCCATCACTAGAAAATAGTACCCGGTGGGCATGGGATTAGAAATGCCAGCTCATTGCTCCGTTAACAATTTATTGCATGAATTGTGAGATTGAGTCTGTCTGGGTGGGGGTGGGGTAATGACTTTACACACATCTGGTTGAATGTGCTGCGAGAAAATGGGAGGGGTTTTGTTGTATGAGGTATCCACAATGAGTCACAGTTAATTAAGGGAAGTATTTCCCCCAGAAACAAGGAACATTTTGTAAAAATGAAACTTGTTATTCCTGCTTGCACACTGTACTATATATATGCTCATGTGTCTATGCCCATGGAAAGCGCTGCGGGGCAACAATGTTAGGAATGAACGTGATTTGAACTGAATGTATGGTTTAGTTCCTATATATAATATACATATAATGTTATTTAGCATAACATATATAACAAAATACTTTGTTTTTTAATAAAATCCACTATTCAGAAATTTGTACGCAGTTTGCTATTTATTGTTTTGTTAATTTAAAGTTTCCCAGTCTGGTAATAATTAAAATACACTGCCTGATGACACAGTTGTTGGATAACTGTGATTGTGGTTTTAATCTTGTTTGAATATTTTTATATTTGCATTCTTGATTGTGAAGAGCCTTGGTCACTTTAGTGTTGTAAAGCACTATATAAATAAATGATTGATTGATTGATTAATTGATTAATTGATTGCAGTTTCTGTTGCATTGTTGTCTCAATTAGTCTGCGAGATGCATTAAAATTAAAAGCCTCATTATACTACGTACAGTATGTATGTCGGTAGACTTCAACTTTGAAACTTGTTGACGCGGTTGACATTTGACTAAAATCTAAAATAACAAACAGTTGCGTTAACCCTGAGAAAATCAGTGCAAGGGGGTCACATGAACTTAGCTCAAGTTATTCAACCCCCCAAAAAACATTTTACCTTTCAAAAATGTCCAATCACAGCCGTTAATTTAGCTGGTGAGTACATGATCACATGTTCTCTCAAGACACCTATAATGAACGAATGTTTTCTGGTCCCGCAGGAGATCTGACTCCATGCTGCTTGTAAGTGCTAAACCGTAATGGGTACATCAGAGGTAACAAAACCAATTTCATAAAGCTGCTGTGTATGCGGAATTTAGATCAGTATTAAGATATTAAATACTTAACATCACCGTATACAATGCATATTTCATCAATATATTTTAAAATGAAAATGGTGAAGATTTCCAGCTATTTCCCCAACACTCATTTGTGTATTTCACAGTATACCTCACAGTCACTCACGGAGTTTTACTGAGCCGTTGACAAATTAATTTAACGAATGTAATACGAATACCAGGACAAATCTAGGTAGCAGTTCTTCATCATTGGCACCCAGGAAAATTCTGGTTGTTTAAAAGATTTCAGTAATTTTCAGTGCATAACATTGTACCTTCATTACTCTAATAGGCTACTTCCCAAAACCAAAATATTACATAATCACAATAGGCCTACAGGTAAATCCTAACGCAGAGACCATTAAATGCTCCTTGCCTCTCTCAATGCGGTGTGATAAATTAACATGTGGTAGCATATAAATCAAAGACACATCGCCGTGGACTATAGCGTATAATTGCCTAAAGCAATCCTGTACACTTCAGTATTAAATACATAATAGTAATTATATGTTATATTCATTAATGCAACAGGATTGTAACTGCTCAGTAAGTATAAAGAACTGTATTTGTATTAATAATTTATAATAACTTAATAAATTTAAAAAAAGGGTGATACAATAAGATATTCACTATTTTTATATTGTAATAATAATAACCAGTTAGCAGCCTCTCCCATCAATGCTATTTCAACATTCGGAGGCTTAATTCATTCAACGCCGGAGGGCGCTGTTGCTTTCTGTCGCATCTGTAGGAAATGATGGCTCTGTAGCAGGAGAAACCCGTGTCTATGGGAGAAGCCCTGGACGGTCCATGGAGGTGCGGGACTGAGTTGTCCGCAGTTGGGGTGTAATCGGCAAGTGGGTAGGTATGCTTTGCTGGCGGTTTGTGCGTTAGTACTAGCTATGCGCCGTTGTTTTTATCCTCCGCGACCGGCCGCAGCCATCCGGCCGCTGGTCTGGGTTTGTTACACACAGTCCTCGGCCTGGTCTGGCATTAAAACGAATATTAGATCCCCACCTCCAGTAAGGGTCTCTGTTTTATTAAAGCGGGCGTGTTGTTCTCATTCGCTAAATAGAAAACGCTATTTCAGTTTTGTAAACAGACTCAGCACTTAGCATGAAGCTTTTGACGTTTCCTGTGTTGCATGGACACATGCCTGCCAAGGATAGAGTGTCTATACACTCCAAAAAGGGTAGAGTGAGTATACATACCAAGAAAGTCATTTTGTAGATTGGTTACATGTAGTATTTGAAAGATTACCGATGTATGTTTAACGCTTGTTTTGTAATTATTTAGCTTTGTGCAAGATAAGTTCGGCATCCAAAAATGCGAATGTATTCCCCTACATACCTTAAGGGGACATAGTAAAGTCGTTTTACTGGACGGTGGATCATTCTGGGTCGAAGAGTGGCTAATCCTAATGACGAGTGCGATTATACAAAGGAGAGCTTGTATTGGAAATGGGCGTTGAAATGACTCGGGAACTGTTACTGTATTTCCACCATCAGAAAGTTCGTCTGAGACGTGTGATTAGCGCCTGTTAAGATGTTTTCTGCCTTGTCCGCCCCTTTTGCCGGATTCCAGCGCTTCCTGACGCAGGTGCCTCATGGCAGACGGCTGATATCCCAAACCATGAGGCAGCACTGGCTGCTTCTCGGAGCCTGCGGCTGGGTGCTGCTCATCCTCATGTTTGCCAGCAAGTTCATCAACTTGAACTTCAGGGTTCCTGAAGGTGAGGGTTCCGGGGCAGAATCAACAGGGGTATTGAGAGACGTACGTTAGAGGTACCGGCACCTCGGGGGTTTTAGTGCACCTTGGACTATGTGATGGCGATGTATGTGTACTGTGGCCGTAGTCATCCTAATTGTTGTATGCATGTCTGCTGAGGTGGTTTAAATTCTCCTCAGCCTGCATTCAGCACTTTATAAACAACCACATGTAAATTAAAACCCAAGAACATAACAGGTTTTCCCGTTCTGCTGACTCAAAAATCAAATGGAAGGAAAATGGCAAACATATTTCATGTATAACTACAGTGGTACCTCGGTTCTCGAACTTAATCCGTTCCAGACTCCGGATCGAATCCTAAAAAGTTCGAGTTCTGATCGTATTTTTCCCATAAGAAATAATGGAAAAGCAATTAATTGGTTCCCGGCCCCCCAAAATTACACCTAAATATGTT